AATCGCGGAGTTTCAAACCATAGACTCTCAAGTCTGGCTGCTCATCCACCACGTATCCCACTACACCAAACCATCTTCTCTATCGTCAATCTCATGTGAATCAAAAATGAGAAACAAGACAAGTCCTGGAGCAAGCAGCGTAGATGTGCGAGATCAATAATACAAAGTACGCAAAAGAGGAAAAGTCGAACGTCCGACTTCCTCGAACCTCTTGTGAGGCCCATCCCATCCAGTCATCAAATCATTAGCTGGCCCCGTGCCAGATCAACGTTTTTGTCACAAGTTTCCAACGCACCAAGCCCTAGTACACATTTACTGGCTTTGAAAGTTTTGGTAATCCAAGTTCCAGTTGATGGATTGGAAAGGATCCTGTGACGCTTGCGAGTAACCCAAGCCAGCACTTGGCACTTCGCCGAAGAGTGGCTCGTACATCTTGGTCACGTTGTTGGCAGGGAACAGCTGGAAGTCGTTGCCGCAGAATTCATTTCCACCACCGGTGTAGTTGTCCTCAAAACCCTCGTCAACCTCGGCCAACGAGTTTGGCGTAAAGAGCATTGCGTTGCCCTGACCAATAGGAGAGATATGTGGTGCAGTTTGGGCAGGAACAATCTGAGGCTGGCAAGCAGGAACAGGCTGGTAGATAGGGAAAGCCATGTCCAGCTCCTTCTGAGCGAAGACGGCTCTGTCTGGGGTGGGGATCTGGGCGTGTGCGCCGTAGATATCCTCGTTCACCGTGAAGTCGGGGCCGTCCTGGTAAATGTATGGCCCAGTCGAGATTTCGGTGGCAGGGGTGTTGTGGTCGGAAGGAGACAGGGACATCTCCAAATCCATCTGTCCATCAAACCCACCCTGACCAACCATTTGGTCAAACTCCTCGTCCGAGATGTAGGAAGGGAACTCCATGCCATCAATGTGGGAAGCAAAGTCGCCAACAGGACCGATGGGGTGCATCGGAGCGAGGAGAGGGTCGTTGAAGTTGAACTGCTGAGCCTGGTCCAAAGGAGCAGGCGGGGTAGCGGCGCTGCTCGTAGAGGGAGTGGGCATTTGGTTGAGAAGAGGGGTGGATTGGGCGACACTGCCGGCAACGCTCGAGGGCTTCTTGCCGTTGGTCTTGGTGCGAACGTATTGCCAGCCATGGGCCTTCTCCATGTGCTGTTTGCAGTTGGACTCCCGCTTAGACTTGTATGGGCAGGGCTTGTACAAGCACTCGTACATGGGCGGGGCCGACGAGTGCTTGTCGTTGTGGTGGCGATCCATCTCCTTCTCGGTCGGCCAGCCATAGTTGTGGTATTTGCATGAAGTGACGGGGCACTTCCAAGGACGAGAGTGAGTCTTCTCGTGCTTGGTCAGGTCACAAGGACGCTTAAACTCCTTGTTGCAGCCAGGCTCACGGCACTTCTTGGGGGCAAGCTCCTCAGGGCTGGCGTTCTTCTTGCGGCGAGCCATGGAACGCATAATCTCCTCGTCATCCTCCAACTGCTGGCTCAATGAGCGCTTCATCTGAATGGGGCTCTTGGGGTCATCCAAATCGACCTCCAAGCCGGTGGCCATTGAAATGGCCTTACCATCCTTGCGAATACGGATGAGCTCGGCAGGGCGGCCGTTGTCAGCGATGCCTCCGAAGAGCTTGATCTCGTCGGTCCTACGGAACAAGTTAGTTGAGTGAGGGATCAATTGGGAGCGAATATCGTACGGGTCGACGTCCATCTCAGCGGCGTCTGATCCAGTCTCCTTGGCGGCAGCAAGTTGTCCTGCGTACTGGCGAATCTGTTCCACGAGATCGATAAAGTATCCGTTAGTGTAAGGGCGGTCGTTTGGTCGAGTCTGTTCTCGGTCGCTTAGGTATTCCACGGTTGCTTGAATGCAGTGGATCGACGTCAGGCAGAAATCGAGGTACAAGGCGGCGGTCTTGGTCCTCTCCTTCATCAACGATCGATAAGTAATTGCCCAAACTCCAGTTTCAGTTAGTGAATGACTTACGGGTGCCATGAAAATAAGGGTCTTTTCGAGATCTCTCAGGCAGATGATCTCCTTCTCCCTAATGCGTCTGGGGATGTCAAGAACAATCGGCTCAAAGTCCTTGAGAGCAGGCTTGGCCCGGAGTGGGCGGAGGACGTGCTCGTGAATGCGGTTGACAGCCTTGGAGCTGAGGGCGGGAAGCTTCTCCATGGTGGCAGAAGAAGTGTTGGCAGCGGACCTTGTGATGGCGGATGCCTTCTTTGATGCGGTGGTTGCAGGCTCTGTCTCGGTGGTGGGGGCGACAGAGGTTCCGAGTCCGCTGTCTGATTCATGATGTCTCGAGGAACGGCGGGTTCTGGGACGCAGAATGCGACGTTCCGTCTCCTTTGACTTTTCCTTTGCCATGGCGGGGTCGACAACGGGCAGGTTGAGGAAGCCTCTGGGAACGGGAAGACTATCGTCGCGGAAAGACTTGGTCTTGGGGGAGACCAGGTTGATGTTGGCAAGGGACTTGTCAATGTCGTCGACGATCAAGGCCATGCGGCGGCAGTGGGCGTCGACAACGTCGTCCAGGTTGGTCTGGGAGCGTCGAAGGCTTGGAGGGGAAGCAGTCAAGGCATCATCCATAGAAGAGGTAGGACTGGTGGGAGAGTGGAAGGTAGCGCCCTTGCGGAGGCTGTTGGTCTTAAGAGTGAGGCCAGTGCCGGCAGGAGACTCCGGGCGAGTCACCGGAGTCCTGCGTCGAGGGTTGACGGAGACGGACATGGTGACGGTGATGACACGGGTGTCCAGAACTCTGTCGGCTAGGTTGTGTTAGATCTCTTGAGGGTTCATGGAGTTGTAGGGCTGAATAGGACACGGAGTGTGAGTCACGACCAGGACCTCACTGGTAGGTCTGATGTAGTAGTCCTAGCCTCTTGAGCAAGCCCAAGGTTTAGGATTGGCCAATGTGATGAGGTGGCGGGAAATGTTTGAGACGGATATCGTGTGGGCAAAGTGGATGAAGAGGGGGAGAGAGAGAGAGGAAGAGGAAGAATCGGAGACGGGGCCTTACGTCGAGATGAAAGATGGTATCGAAGGCGATAACGTCGATGGTATGGGGAGATGGCAACGGAAGGCCAGACGAGGCGAAAGGCGAGCAGAGCAGGCGAGTAGTGGATTTAAGGCGAGGCCGTTGAAGTCTGCCTGATTTTGAGGGGTCCTGTCTGCGGGTATAGGAGCAAGCCAATGTAGTATGATGCGCCTTTTTGTCCCAGCTGTCGTACGCGTCGGCGTATGCACACGAGGATGGAAGAAAGCAGACGTAGATAGTCTGAGCTGCTTGCCGTGGGCGATATTCTTTGAGGATGATGTGTATCCGGGAGGAAGAGCAAGAGACGAGGAAGAAGCGGACTGAAGTGCGGCGGCCTCAGTGGGACAAGACGGGCTTGGATTTAGTGTCGAGGAAGCGGCTTGGATATCCTAGAAATCGAGGAGAGCAAAAAAAGAGGAAGAAAAGCAGGAGGAGGAAGAGGATTCGGTCGAGGATTGAGGGTGGGTGGAAGGAGAGAGAAGAGGCGCGTGGTGGTCGCGAGCGAGGAAGAGGCGGTTGTTGGTGTACCGGGGGTCGAAGGTCATCGAGGTTTGATTAGAAAAGCAGCCCAGCACTGAGCACCTTACGCAGTAGAGTGAGAGAGAGTCCGGCAGCCAGACGAGCACCGGTGGAGAGAGAGAGAGAGCGCGGCTGCGCTGAACGGGAGCGACAATTGAGCGGACCAGAACTCTGAAGAGAGCGTCCGGGGCGAAAGGCTGCTGCCTAATCGACTAGCCAATGGGAGATCGTCGCCGTGGCCCAGTGGAGGCGGAGTCTGGGCTTTGCGGATCAGGAAGGATCCAACCCCCGGTCACCAAAAAAAGATACGTACCCAGGGTACCCTTCAACCTTGAACCCCACCACCACCACTTACCTGTAGGTATGTACCTACCTACCCTACCTTAGTTAGGTACGTACTTCGTACCATCAACCACATCCTGTCCTCAATTCTGCCATCTTCCACCACAGTCCCATCCTCGGTCTCCTCGGTCTCAACCTCCCAGAGTCCCATCGACTCGCCTTTTCACCAGCAATCATTCGTCCAACATGGAAATGAAGATTTCTCGCCAGTATTTTCCGTTAAGCCCGCCCGCCGGCAACAAGCCAAAACTCCACTCGTTCCAAACAATGTTGGCTGCACCTCAATCCGGGCCACCTGAACATTGGAAAGACCCGCTGTTAGGGTCACCGCAGCTATGCAGCCCACTGCTCAAACTACACAGCGGTGGACAAACCCATGAGCACAGCCCCCCCCGAATCAAGCATCGAAAGTACACGATTAGCACCGACTAATTACCTCTCATCACCTCGCATCACTTCCCTCGAAGCAATGATACCATCACCAATACTCTGCCCCATTAAGAGACACCCAGCCGCCAGAGTAACGGCAACCCGGAACACCAGATGCTAGCTGTCCTCGCTACCCTGGGTCACTGGGTGTCAGAAATGAACACCTTGCACTGCAACTTGACGTCTCAATTCCTATGCTACCAATGACGCTGCTGTCAGCAAAACAATGGAACCTCAATCAGCCTTTGGCCCCGACTCCGACTCCGTGTCTGTTGTTGTTGTTGCTGCTGCTGCTGCTGCTGCTGCTGCTTGTCACATTTACTGCTGTTTGTCACTTGCGGTCCAGCTTGGGAGTTCAAGCACAGCTCACCATGGTGCATTGCACCCATCCAACTTCCATACCGCCGCGCACCTCACAGGAGGCAGACGAATTCTCTCGTCTCTGAATGCTCCATTCGAGGGGCAGGAAACGCAAACCCATTGCCAACCCCAAATAGTACAAAGTACAACCCGTCAGAACGATGTATCGGATTGACGGCTGCCTTCTCCAGCTCGCAAATCTTGATGGGTCCCGAGAAGCGGGAAACGCAAGGGTCTGGTCCGGTACTGTATTCGAAAGCAGGGTGCGCCAGCCGGACGGGCGCCAGAACATCTCCCTCTGCACAGAGTCACTTCACAAATGGAGACGGCAGCAAGGCGTGACCACAGATGGGGGCGTATCGCAAGGTTCGATCAAGTTTCAACATGCACCGCTGAAGATGGGCTGAAGTGGGCTATTGGGCATCCTCATCTCTCGCCGTTGTCCACAGGTGACAGTGCCTCCCTACGCAGTACTTCGTACTCTGTACGGACTACGGATACACTCGAAACCTCTATGTAGGGAACGATTTGGCTGTCCAGCCTCACCAGCGCCCTTGGAGTCGGGACGCTTTCGTCCAGATCAACATACGAGTGACCAGAAACGCATCTGCACAGCCAAGCTCGCCAGTCACCAGTGACATCTATTCTCACGATACCGCATTGCACAGCATTACTCCGTACCATGCCATCATACCTACACAGCACAGCACAGCACAGCACAGCATAGCATAGCATAGCTCGCTATCTACCTACCTTATTATGGCCCTCTCTCCTGCACACCTGTTGCACCGGTCGTGGCTTTGAGGCCGCTAACGGTAGGGCGGCAAGCTAAGAGTCCTCATGAGAACCAAGACATGAGCAAGACTGGACAAGACTCATAGTCTCATGCACGGTACCTTTTTTACACTCGGAAACTGGGTCAGGGATTAGACTTAATTTGGCCTCGCTCTGAGTCTCTCTCGCTTACCCCCGTCAAAATCAGCCCATCAGAACCAAAGTCCCAAAGCTAACCCGCTCATCAATCTCCACCCGCCAGCCCGATCCATGACTTCCCACTGGGTCGTTTCATTCTCCGCCAACCTGGGACCATTCCCAAGCGAACTGTTGGCTGTCTTACATACTCCAAATTCCGCTCTTCTGTCACTCAGAGTCTCAAAGGGCCCTCAGCCTCCTCCGCAGGCCCTCAAGGTCGCAGCAATGCCATGCTGCCATCCACTGTGATGCGTACCTACGTCTTTGCGATAGGCCTTCTCAACGACCAGCAGATCAGGGCTCCCCTTGCGTTTGCCCAAAACGGCAGACGGGGTCCAGTTTGAATTGAGACCAACACCAACCCTCTCTCATTATGTCACCTCTCAACGCGGAAATTGACCAATGACGCCCTTGGCGCCCGTACGGATACCATTTCTCGCGCGTTGCTGATATCACCAGTCTCCATCAACTCGTGGTCCGTGATATGTGGAGTCTATTGAAAACGGTCCACTGCGGACCAACTGCCATGGCCTCTGCTTACTGTTGGGGGCCGATCAAGCCAGCGCATCCACAGACCAGGAGAGAAGAAAACGCTGGAGCAGGCAAAAAGCTTTGCTTCAACTTCCGGTCAAGGTCGGCATTTTCGTCCGGCCTGTCACTAGAGGCCACGGGACAGGCAGGGGTCGGAATGGCCAGCGGGCGCTCTGATTCTCTATCCCACCCACCAAGATTACACACCCAGTCTGATTAGCCAAGCAAAGCCCACCAGTCTGGTCTGGGTCGGCCGAATGACGTTCGGTACAGAGCACGCGGTACCAGGGTTACAGTTTGAAGGTTGAGAATTCTGAGCCATTGACAGCTCGTAACCCGCAGCTTCGCACGAGCGACCGTTCGCATTTCACCTAATCGGGGTTCAGGGACAGTCGGAGTCTGGAAATCTAGGGCACGAACAGCAATAACATGGACCTGCATGTCTTGACTCGTCCGTCAGTCGTCACCTAGCTTGCGTTGATTGAAGCTTGGCGTGTTGCTCTGACGGTGCTGGATTGCGCGGTTGCGCATATCACCAACGAATCCGTACCCAGGGATTCGTACTCAGTCGTGTATGCTTGTTTGCTGCACAGGACTTTGGCGCAGGGAAAATCGCATGACGGATGCGCGTCTGCTCGCAGGAACACATTCAAACGAACCTTGGTCAACCAATTGCTCACCACCATCATCACTCGCACTCGCACAACCCTCCCGGTTCCTCTCCACACATAGGGCTGGCGTGGCTGTCCACCTGTCCCAGTAACTTTAACGCAAGCCAATCCAAGCTGTATACCGACAGACGAAAGAAGCAAGAAACTCAAAGCAAGCAAGCTTTTTGACTCAAAATCGGTTCCCGGCTCACCGTCCACATTATGACTTACCCCGAACGCAGGAGAGAGGCGGCGTCACATCGTGCTGTGTACCTACTCAATAACTTAGCCGCCTCGTCACTTACACGTTACATGACCGTTCCTGAACACGCCGAATCCCGTACCCCGTATCGTATTCCGGGGCCCTAAAAAGAACGCAAGAGTTAGGACTTGTTAGGAACCCCCCTCATTCCAACGGGTATCGGTTCATCCGCAAAGCCTATGCCGCCATCCCATTGGCTCAAGAAGCCCGTCGTGTATCGACGACACGTAGGCGGTCACGAATCAGCGATCCCGACCCCAACTGTCTGCCCGTCGGTCAGCCCTATGGGTGTCCCTCCGTCACCAATCAGCTTTGCGGAAATAGAGCAGCCTATCACCAAACTCCGCTTCGCCGATCAATTGCGGCCACCTCTTTTTTCTTCCTAGGACTTTCGACCGCGTCGTAACAAGGCATCAGCATTTCTGCTTCTTTGTTAGGCCAATACGATACGTACCGGTTACTCGCTTCTTTGAACCGATGCAGTTCTACACCAGACAGGCACACCCGTTTCCTGAGACCATGTTCGTTCCACCTGACGCACAATAGACAAGCCAGTCATTGATTGGACTAACACAGAGGCCACGAATCTGTATCAACATGAAAAGAAAGAGGGTTGTGACATTGTTGTTGTTGATTCTCTCTGCCTTGAGCTTGTTTCCTTCCGCTAGACCCTTTGAAAGTTTACTCGTCCCCAAGTCATGCACGTCAGATTCCCAATGGGCTCCCAAATTGAACCTTCTCTCAGCGGCCCTCAGACATGGTACACTAAGGTATGATTGCTTTGGGAGGCGATGGCCGGCTGGGACAAGGATGGCCAGATCGCTGGAAACATGACCTACTCTATTTCTCTACTTTGCAACCAGAGGAATGCTTCCCCTCCCCCTCTTCACCAGCCACGCGGCTGAAGCTCACCGTTACTCCTAATTGGGGACCCTCCGCCACAGCATCTCGACCTCATCCATCAGCTCCTCCAGTGGCAACTCGGGGGTACATTCCGCTTCTGTGATGCGTGGCTCCGAGTTGCTGACTACTGCGCGGTGGTCTCCCTGCTGCTGATCCCGGCTGCTCCGTTGTTCTCCTGTTTGATGGGTGGCGTTCACTTGTAGAGGACGGCCTACGCTCGCCGAACTACGGGTTAGCCCTTCGGACATATCGGCCGTCCCCTCTACCGCACGGGGGGGCGTCACTTGTTTGCTTTTCTTCTTCTTGATTTTCAGGGGCGCGGGGACGAGGTGGAAAGTAGATCCACGGACGTATGAGGGTATTGGCTCGGGCTGCGTGGGAAGGGGCGATGTAAGACCACTTGGTCTCTTTTGCAGTTGATATTGCTGTTGCTGCTGTCGTTGTCCATCGTGACTTACCGGGATCCGCTGCTCTTGAGGCCGCTGGTGAAGATGTGCTTGCTGGGCGCCTTGCTGCTCTCCTCGACAATGCTGCTGCTGGCTGGCTTCCTCCCCGCGAGCGTCGTGAAATCGCTTATTGAACCACGGCGACGTCGGAGATCTACCACCCCTTGAACTATGTTCAACTGCACCAGCAACACCTCCTCCGCCACTTCTGCCGTCAGCGTTCCCCCCATCTCTCCTCGTGCCGTTCCCCTCGTGACCACCCGTCGGCTGGCCCGGAGCGCCGGAGTCTTGATATCGATGCACATTATCCCCCCGCCGCGGGGCCTTCTGCCCCCGATTTCGATCTCCTGAAGCACCTGGAACTCCGTAAGTATCATTCATACCATTATTCCCCCCCAACTCCGGACGCCTCTGCTGCTGATACCGCGTCCTCGCCAGCGTCGGCGTCGACGGAGGAACGGCCTGCATCGCCGCGACGGCCTTGTCCTGGACGCAACGGGGGCACTTTCCCCCGACGGGACTCATGCAGCGTTTCCTTCCGCGGCAGACGCCGGACTCTTCGTGGGCTTGTGGCGGTGGCGGCGTGGAGGGGGTGGAGGGGCAGGGGAAGCAGAGACAGAGGAGGAACACCCACGGGGAGCGGGGGTTGCGAGTTCGTCGTGCTCTTTTGGCGTTGTTGGCGCTGCCGGTGTTGAGCTGATGATGATGATTGCGGGCAGAGCCGGCAGAGTTGACGGAGGAGGAGGAGGTGAAGCTGGAGTCGTGTGGGTTGAGCTTGCGCGCCTGTTGCGTCTTGTAGTCTGCGCAGTCTATGTCTTCGAAGACGCTGTGGTGGCAGTCTGTGTAGATTATTTGCTTTTCCCAGCACATCTTTCTCGTTCGACTTCCGGGGCACGAAACCACCCCCGGTGATATCTCGAAATTTGACCTACCTCTACCGTATGTCATCTAGACCTCTGTCTTAATTGATCTCGCGAAGTTGGGTTGCTTTAGTTTTGAGGGTTTAGCCCCTTGAGGCTGGAAACGGGAATTTGGGTTTCGATTCGTGGCTGGTTAGTACGACTAGCTTCTTGAGAGACTCTCTATCTCTCGGTCTGTCTCTCTTCTTGCCTGGGAGAGAGAGGTTTGGACTTGAGCCTTTTGTATCGACGAGGAGAGGTATTTCGGGCTGTGGACAAGGAGGGCGGGACAATACAATGCCTTGTGTTTTTTTATTCATGTTATTCTTCCCTGCTAGGTACACAGTTTGAAGGTGGCTTTCATGAGGACTTTGTCTTAAAACTCATGCTGCAGCATTCTTATTCGTGATGCTCGACAACCAGGTTGTTCACTTTCCCTAAGATTCGGCAGACAGCTTGGATTAGTTCCTTCTAGATAGACAGAGGCACTCGTAATGATCCCGAGCTAGACGGCGGCATCTTTCTCACATCACCTTGTTTCTAACACTAGCCCATCTAGTGAAGACGAGCAAGCGGTCCCACTCGTCCTCAGTGGTTTTTGTTTTTTGAGGGTAATCAACATACGAAGGAGATAAGGCAGAAACGTCAAGGTAGCCAACTGGCTGGGCGTCGTCGTCGAGAACAATCAAGTCGGTGCGGTCTACATCCGATTGTCGAAACAAGGGATAGCTTCATCCGGAAACGTTTCTTGTTCTGTTTCTGGAAACTCTGATCCGTTCAAGAAGGGTTCTCGGATAAGGACGTCCGGGCGTTGATGTTTGCTAGGATTCAATGTTTTCCCCTCCCTTTTCATGACTATGAGGATCATTATTGAGGAATCCAGAAGACCTCTTTTCTCCTGAAGAACTGAATGTTTCAAAACTGTTAACTCTTCAAAGACAGACGTCAAAATCATACTGAATCGAATTAGAATCAACAACATCATTGTCATGTTCATTGCATGCTGTTCCAGGCCCTCGAATCAACGGCCAATGATGTTTTACAGGTCCCCATTTAGGAACAAGGAAAAGTCAAAGAATACCATGAGGAAGCCTCCCTTTCTTTGACATGACAGCCTCTGGTACTTCTTCCTCCCCTGGCCTGACGAGCAAGGGGCCAGTCAAAGGCTACTTCTTTATAGGGCAGATACCATTCTTTCGAGCATCAGGTAGCGGCCAAAAGGAGAGAAAGTGGCCCTTCCTGAAGTTCCATCTAGGTCAAAAAGGAGTCAGCCCAGCTCCATCTTGCATTTGTCGACTAGTCCATTGCTTCCTTCTTCGACTTCTTTCCTACTTCTTATCTAGATTTCCATTTCCTTTAGGCGCGCAAAAACAATCGCTAGGGAGGATAATTTAAGTTTCCGAATCTCGAGGAACAATGGGCTTCACATGGCCATCCCTAGGACGCTGGACGTCCAACAGAAGAAGACCCTCGAGATCATCCCGCGAACCATACCGTCACCGCCCTACGACGTCGACGACCAAGACGTCGAAGTGTTACTCTCCCACCACCGATCAAACCCACGAAGACGAAGATAGAAAGTCCAAGCGCAACTGTCCACAGGACACATACAGCTACGACGCACCCGATTCTTCCGTATACGGCGGCGCCCAGTCACCCACACACCGTCCCTCGGCCCCTCCGGCCCAGGGCGTCAGGGAGACGGAGTTGTTGCTCAGAGGTGAGTCCCCCGCGGCGCTCATCGAGCTCATCCAGCGGACGGAAGACGCTGAACGGCGGGTGAGGCCAAGTCAGAAGTTCAAGTACCTCGGCGCAGACGACGACGCGCTACACGTTCGGTTCGGAACCACGACGACGGTCTACGGGCGTGGGGGGGAAGGAACCGCTCGATACGACGATGGCTGGGTTCTCTCTGCCGCCGAAGAGGACCGTCGCCGGAACGAGGCGGCGGTTCGGGAGGAGTATGACGACGACTTCGACGAGCAGGAGTTTGGGGATTGGAGGGACGGTGGATGTGAGTGCGAGTGCGGGCGCGGCGGATGTGATGAAGAGGATGAGAAGCTTGAAGAGGAGTGCGATGAAGCGGAACAGGTAATTCGCCACGATCACAGCCGGCGCGGGTCATGGGCTGTTGATGAGTCTTCACGTCCGTGTGGTCACGAGGCAGAAGAAGGTGCTAATGCTCAACGTCACAGGTCGGAGGCGCAAAAGAAGGAGATAGGAGAGGATATGCCTGCGTTCGAAGTGTGTGGTGTGGTAATGAGAGACGGACTGCGGTTGCATCCGACGAACGGCGCGGCCTCGGGCTCTTTGACGACGGTCCAGGGGCCTGGAAGATCCCTGACGGCGGGGGAGGAGGGATTGGAGATGACTTTGGTCGACTACTCCAGCGATGAGACATCCACCGCGGAAGAAGACCCCTCTGACGGCGAGGGCAGTGAGCCTCATCTGCCGTCGCTGTACTTTGAGGATTTGAGAAGTATGGTCGAAGAGGCGGCGGTTCCGGACCCCTTGATCTCGGGGGCGGATGTCGTCGATGGAACTGGTGATGGCCAGACGAACGAGGCAGAATCGAACTCCACGCCGGATGCGGAGGTGTTGTTTGATTTCTCTGAGTATTCCAAGGGACATGAGCGTTCGATTGGGGATATGCTGGACTCCTTCTCTAGAGAATTTGAAGGATGGCAGGCCGATGCTGATGAAGAAGAGAATCTCCCTCCGACTCCTGCTCATGAGATTATTCGCCCCGTCGCCGGACTGGGTTGGTATGACGACAATGAGAGATCGAGTTACTCCGATGTTTGTCCCCAGGCTTTGGTCATGAGCATTACCAGGGCAAATGCAGAGTTCAACGCGGCATCAGAGAGTCCGCTGACGTTCCCCCTCCGCAAAGACTCGTTGGAACATGGCCCCAGAGCCCTCACCTTTTCCGAGGTATCCTACGCGGCCGAGAAAGGAGATGGGTTCACGACAACGAAAGCTGGTGAATTCGATAGCACACCCATGAGGACAGTCTTTGAGAATACGAGCCAGTTCTTCAAGTCAACCACCGTGGAAGACGAACACTGGATATCAAAGCCAAAGTCACCTGCATCCCCGGGACGCTCTTCCTCCGTCTACTCCTCAGACTCCTCGGATAACGCAGGCTCTCTCTCTCCCGCCTCTAAGGCATCCCCAACCTCCCCGAGCGAGGGCGAAGAAGACGAAGAAGAGATAGATGACCTCCTCGACATCTACGCAACCACATCCCACCCCGACCACGGATCCCCCCTCTCTCCCACAACCGACAAAGACCTCCTTCCCCCTTACCACCCTTCCTCACCATCCGCCCTCATCCCTCTCACCACAATCGCTCGCGGCCTCTCCCTCCCCCAAGCAACCCCCTATAGCACCCTCCAAACCCACCTTGCCCGCAACGCAAACATCCTCCGCTACCTCGTCCTCCACTGCATCCCCTCCCCCTCCATAAACCCCCTCGAACCCCAAACCGACCTCGTCGAACCCATCCTGCCCCTACCCCTAACCCCCGGATCAGGAGACTACGCTCGAAACTTCCCCTCCCACCCGCGCAGGCGCGAGTACACACGCCTCCTACAAGCCATCCGCTCCGTACAGTGGTCAGCAGACGCTATCAACGACATGCTGGCCGTGGTAGACTTTCACTCCCCTCTCCCGTCCCCTTCATCTCCATCATTCTCGACGGACCCTTCGCACAGACGAACCTCCACGGCCCTACCCGCCTTTCGAAAACTCCGCGCCGCGGACGCAGAGCGGCGGGGGTACCTTACCTCCACGCAGCTTCACGAGCTAAGCATGCACGGTATCTCGCTCCTCGACGTGCTGCAGATGAACGACGTCCCGCGGGTCATAAGCTCTGGGTTAGGCGGGCGTCTCGTTGCTGCTGCGGCGTCTGGGGCGTTGGGTGTCGCGAGGGAGTGTAATCTGCTCGACGAGGAGGGGGCGTTGCTGGAGTTGCTTGCTGATCCGGAGGAGGAATTTGGCTCGAGGTTGAGAACTCGGGACCAGGGCAGACGTAGTGGAAGGGGGAGCGGATTGAGGTGTTGTATTGGTGTTGATGATGAAGGTGAGACAGGCGACGAAGAGAACGGGGCGGATAGCGACGACCAGATGAACGATGATGAGGATGAGGTGCATGGAGAGGGAACGTACATCGATGGCCTTGTAAACGAGGTGGGAACAGGGAATGTCGTTGATGATGATGGCGCGTACCTCGTTAGCCCCTTATCTCCCGAAGCATTCACCGTAGACCAGACCTGGGAGGACCAGGGTGGTGTAGCCTCAGCACCGACGACATCTCAACCCTCCGAGGACCTCATGACCTTCTCTGACGATGACGAGGAAGAAGATGAGGATGACATCTACGGTCTACCTACAGACTGTACTTTTGAACAATCGGAAGCGGAGCTCCACGTGAAGCCGCTGAATATACCCAAAAGGAAACCCACACTCAAGAGGTCTCATCACTTTCGAGAAATCCAGGCCTCTGACGAAGAGACAAAGACGGCTATCCTGGTCCATAAAGAGACAGGCGAGGACCCCGAGTTGCGACGGTTCTTCACCGAGATTGGAGCGATGCCTGTAGTTGCTGGCACGTCGGACGTTATCATTGAGTGAGATTAGGAGGGACCAACAAGAAATTGACGAAAACTTGTCACATCCCATATCGAGAAATTCAAGCGAGTTATCTTCTTATAGTCCACAGGAAAGGAAGGAGGGATACGAATATAAACACAGGTGGAACATTTGTTGGTTTGGCGATAATACCTACTTACCCTATCTTAGAATGAAAATAGGAATACTCTGAATACAACAGGACCAAAGGTATATACCCCGCCTCAATCCCAATCCCGTCACCAGCAACAGCAGGCGCCTCTCTAGGTCGGGAGGTCAGGACAAACTGGCTGGGTGGTGGCAATGGTTAAAGGTCGACAGTCAATTTATACGCCAAGCAGCCTACTCGACGACAGGCTTAGCGAGAGTACCCGAGTTCGAATCCCAGCATGAGCACCAAGAGATGTAGCCACACCGGTGGTGAACTCTTTTTCTTTATTCAGTCTTTGAGAACACTTCATTTGATACGTGAAAAATAGTCGGACCAGAAAACCAACAGGAGGGGACATGAGCGTAACTGATTTTGTACGTCACAAGATATGATACATCTACAGAAAATAACACATCCAATGGGTATCTTTTTCTCCTTCTCTATCTTTCTCACCATCCTCTCCATCCTTTACTTCATACGTGAGCCCATCCATTATACACAAGCACCTGCCCCTCATTTATCAAACAATCAACCCCCTTCTCGCTCCTCATCTTTTGATCACCACCACCGCGAGCCTCCCACTCCTTCAACCTCTTCCTCACAACCCACTCCTTAACTCTCTCGCTCGTCAACACCCGCCTCACCCGTCCCTCCCAAACCCCAACCACAATCCTCCACACAGAAAGCCAACAACCCCTGCCACCACCCGGATTCACAGCCTCATACGCAGCAGGCGAATACCCGACCCTCACCCTCGGATTCACAAACACCCCCAACTGCTCCGACAACGGATTGTCCACATGAACGAGACAACACTCGCTCGCCTCGAGATGCGCCTCCTCAGCCAACGAATCGTCCACCCCGCGGAACGCAAGCCTCTTAATACCCCCAGCCGCGCCCCGCCGATTCGCCAAAAACGGCGCCGCCGGCATCGCCACGATCCCGTTCCAGCAGCTCCGCACGGGCACGGCGTCCGAGTAGGCCATCATGGCGGCGCGGCTCGCCTCGGAGCGGAAGTACGGCCACCGCTGCATCAGCGTCGCTTGACCCGCCGAGTCGCGCAGCGCAAAGGTGTCGTAGTAGGAGGGCGGGTGGGCGAAGTCGAGGGAGCAGGCTGCGGCGTAGATGCCGCCGTTGGTGTCGAGCAGCGCGAGGACGTCTTCGGTCTAGAGTTTTCCATGTCAGCTCCCCCGCTCTTGCCTTTGAGGTGATTCACATGCGCAGTGCTACCGCTCGCTGCCCATATTCAAAAAGAAAGAGAGACGCAAGTCTTACCGTAAACACAACATCATTCAAAAAGAGCACCGTATCAAACATCTCCCCCTCCTCCCCCAACTTCCACAAATCCCGCAACGTCAAATTCCTCAACCTCGCAAGAAACGGTATCCTCCTCATCTCCCTCTTCCCCCTCGGCGTCGTAATCCACCCTTCCCTCTCCTCCCCCTCCGCAGGAACATCCTCCACCTCCTGCGCATGCGTCCTCTCATCAAGCACCACATTCCTCCTGACCCCCCTCTTCTCCAACACCCCGTCCAGCTCCCTCAGCGCCGCCTTGGTATCGTCCCAGCTCCCGCTCTCGTACACCGACACATAGACATTCTCGCGCCCAAGCGCCTCGACGAGGTCTAGCACAGCCTTATTCCAGTGTGTCCGGATCACGGAGGCGTCGTTGTAGTGCATTCCTGCAATGTAGATGCGCTCCGCGCGCCGCGGGCGGGAGGGGTCGTGGCGCGGGGCCGAGGTGACGCGGCGCTGGTAACGGAGGGCGTCGAGGAGGACGTAGAGGGTTACGATGAGGGCGAGGTTGCGGAAGGGGCGGGAGCGGAGGAGGCGGCGGGCGCTCAGGCGAATGCCGTTGAGGAGGCCCATGGCTTTTTCTTTCTTTCGGGGTGAGCTCGGCGGCGGCGTTGCGCTCGAGCTTGACCGTCGGTGGTCGTTGGTTCGGGTCGTGGTTCGAGCAGAGGGCGAATCAGCGTCGGAAGACGAGGTCGAAGGACGAGAGGATGTACACGATAAAGTCAGTGAGCAAAGGCCAAAAATGCGAGGTGTATCGTGGACGCCATTGAACCAGCTTCAACGATATAAGAGAAAGAGAAAAAGGGAATCCCCCGGATGTAGGAAGTCGATCTCCCTCCTTCCTGCATTGGCCAAGACGGGCGAGCGAGAGTCTTGTATTATCATCCGTAAGATAATACGTAAGGCAACACCTGGAGGCCGCGGGGACCTCTAGGTGCTCAGTAATGCAAAGTAGCTTTTCCGCAGGGATCAGCTAAGGGTCCCGTCACTATGTACTGTCACTACTGCAGTTGATTTTGCCCGGTGTCATTGGGCCCCGGCAGGGCTGACAGGGTCCGTTTTGGAAGCCTGGAGAAGACGGGGAGCCACGCGATTGGTCGCTGCGACACAGCTCACCCCTGCAAAGGACCATGACCGACACGACCTCAAGCATGAGGGAACATTGACCAAGGCATAGCATGACTTGAATGATGCTTTCCTCTGATTATGCATAGAAATGCCATCAATAGGTATCTGTACCTCGGGAACATCACAGCTTCACATGAAGAAAGGTCCCTCTGGAGTATATCTTTGGACTCAAGAAAACTACTAATACACTCGACGTCCCCAATCATCCCCATTTTAATCCTCTGCTGGACTCTACGGTCACTGTGTTCCCTTGACCTGTTCACTCTGGGTCGTTGGATGTGAGAGCCCGTCTGACTTCTGGGGCAACATCTTCTAAAAAGGTATCTGTATCATCAATCCCGCGTTGGGTCTTGATGTGAACGGCTTGCCATCTATTTGGCAAAGTGCAGGTCGTATCCGAGCCACTTGCGACGGACAACCTCCTCAACTGTGAGGCCAGGGTATCCGTACGTCAAGGGCAGGAAGAAGTACCAGCCGGCGAGAGCAATGAGAAGAATAACGCCACAAGCGATCCAGGCGCCAGCGAGACTCTGACCAGCGAATCGCTCGCGGGCCGAAATGTGTCTCTTAGGTCCCTCGGCCTTCTTGTTGCCCTTGATGACTTCGTAGCCCTCCTCGGGAGCGGGCTCGGCGGTGAAGATGAACTCCAACAAAGCACCAGCAACCAAGCAGGAAGCCAAATGCGCCGGCAGGTAGTGGTGAAGGAAGAGTTGACGGCCCATCAGATAGAAGGGGAAGTAGTGAGTAGCCCAGGCAAGGAAGAAGAAGCCGGTCGAGTTGTACAGACGCGAACGGGTACCTGCTGATGATTAGCGACGGTGTCCTAGACAGAAAATGATACGCACGGTACTTACGGTGGTCAAGAGCGTCAATGCCTCGTCTAAGTGACACCTGGTCCGCGCCGATGATACCGGCAAAGACTGCCAAAAGACTGCTGGCGAGCCACCAGCCGATGGGGTTACCAAGGAAGTAGATCTGCTGGCGGGTGTCGTTCTGAGTCCAGAAGCTGACACCGCGGAGCAGGAAGGGCCACTGGTAGGGGTGGCTGGCGTACGGGTGGCTGCTGGTCAACTGGTTGTTGTGCCAGAACATGGAGCGCTGAAGCTCGAACCACTTGCGGAAGAAGGGCAGGGTCTTAACCTCCTTCTCCGGCTTCTCCCGTCTCTTAGAGTCGAGGGGGATCGCGGGAAGGTCCTCAACAAACCAGATATTGGAGCTCGGCGCCAACTGCTTGTTGCCGTTGATTTCCTGCTGCTTGTGGCCCCATTCGGGCAGAGGGGTGGTGTGCGTCCACATGGCAACCTTGCTGGGGTTGTGGATGAACTTGAAGTGACTCGAGATACTCTTGAACTCCTGACCAGGCTTGCCGTTCTCGACGCGGATCTCAAAGAGGGTGTCGTTGAGACGGTCGCCGTACGCATCAGCCAAAGGCACCGTAGTGAACTCCTGGTTCGTGGGGTAGTAGGGCGAGGCGACGTCGTGGGACAGCAGCATGGTATCGGTACCCAAGTGCCTGAGACGCACAACATCGTTGTTCTTGACGGCCTTGCCTGTCTTCTGGTCGTCAACCAAGGGGATGATCTGCCAGTAGTTGTTGGTGTCGTTGTAAGGGTAGCCGGTAACCTGCTGGCCCTGACTGGAAACACGGCCGTCATCGTAGCGCAGAGGGTAGTGGTCCTCGTGGCTGTGCAGATAGGTCTTGGTCTCCTTGTGGCGGATGCTGATGGTGTCGTAGTACTCCACGGTCAAGGAGTTGGCCAACATGACATTGTCGCTCAGCGTCTCCTGGAACTCAGGAGTCATGAAGTCGTCGCCAGGACCGGATCGGGTCAGGACGGCGAAGTGGACCTGGAACCAGAAGAGGTAGAAGAGGAAGGGCATGATGATCAGGCCAAAGGCGCGAGCAGCAAAGTGCTTGCCAAAGTCGGGAAGACTCAAGGCACCGCCGGGTCTCTTGATGTCCAACAGGCCCCAGAGATCGATAATCACAGCGGAGCCAATGGTGACGAAGGCGAAGAGTCCAACGTACTTTGTCGAGATATCGGCAGACAGGGCGAATCCGGTGAGGATCAGCCACTTCCACCACTTGCGCGAGAAGGGCTCGTGGCGCAGCTTGTAGAACTTGATATAGCACAACAAGCTGCAGGCCATGGCGAAGACGAGGGTAGCATCGAGAAGGATCAGACGCGTCTGTCCAATGTGAGCGTTGTCGAGCAAGACAAGACCGGCGGCCAAAAGGCAGGCGGGCAAGCTGTAGCCAGACTCCCACATGATGAGGTAGGTGACAGAGACGGTCAATGCGCCGAGAATGGCGGGCAGAGCTCGGAAGGCGACATAGGGCACCTTGTTGGAGATGTAAGAGTCGCCAATATTCTCGAAGTGGAAGTGTCCGTCATAGCCAACGAGCCATCCCATAAAGGCAAAGAGGAGCTTCCCGAACGGAGGGTGGACATCGAAGAAGTAGGTTCTCTCGAGGTAGTAAGAGGCAAACTGTGGTAAAGGGAAGTTTTCGTTAGCTATCATGTGTTCTGGTGATTCTAATTCTGCATTGGGTTTTCCTCTCTTCTCTTTTCTTCTTTCCTCCATTGGGAAATGAGTATCCGACGTACCTTGCCAAAGTGAACTTCGTCAAAGACGACCTCATTGGGATGGCTAATGCCCCAGAAACGTGTGACGAAGGCGAGAATGGTGGTGATGAGAAGTCCGACGCCGTACTCGGGCTGGGAGACGGAGCGCTTGGTCTTTGCACCGGCCTTGTTCAACGACTCGACGACGGCGTCAGCTGCACCGGCAGCGGGCGTGGTAGGCCGCTTCGCATTGTTGCGCTGGCGAACGCTGCCCTGCGGGGTGGCAGTCGTCGACGCCATGATGGGGGGTGTGGATGTGGGGGATTCGATGAAGGAGCTGTTCGGCGATGGAAAAGGTTTGTCAGTCCAAGCCTTGAGGCTGAAAGGTTTTGGGTTCCAGATGTTTGCGAGCTGGGAATATTTGATCCCTCGGGGGGCAGGCAGGTTCACCACAGAAGAAGGACAGATAGCTCCAACTGGAGGGACCCTAGGGGATTGGATTGGATCCAATCGATGAGTGGTACGTATCGCACTAGGTACGGTACTTTGGAGCTGTAAGGGAGCGAGCTCAGGGGCTTGTAGCTAACTTACACGCTATGAGGAAAAGTGGAGCTCGTCAGCCCTCACGTCACGTTTGGTTAAAAGTTGAAGAGAAGGAAGGGAACGCAATATAAAAAGGTGACGCGTTAAGGAATGACTTGAAGAAGAAGAAGAAGGCGAAAAAGTTGCCTAGGGAAGAGAAAAAGAGAGGGCCCGAATTGACTTCTCACGATAATGGAGAAGAAGATTGAGAGACGGCAGAAAAAGGGACAAGGAAGATTAATTGTCTTCCCCGGGAACTTGAGCGGAAAAACTTGGGAGACCCCCTGACGACGTGCAGACTGCAGACTGACACTGAACCTTCCCGAAGACCAGATGGCCCAATCCGTAGGTAGTATCCGTAGTCTCAGAGGCTAAGGTACCTTAGGGGACGGGATAATCTTTAGGACAGGGATTGATCTCTTTCTCCAGGGATCACCAAGAGGACTGGACACTTGGCCAAAGTGACAGAGCTGTCAATAAAATCATCTAGGCATTCACGCACTCATTCTGGTTTCTTACTAGGCATTCAATTCATTCCATTGGATGGAGCTGCGCTAACAATTTCGGAGTAGTGTTCCAAGGGCGGCTTGGGGAGACTACGGAGTACAAGTGGGAGCAAGGGCAGCTCCAGCCCACCTCACCTCATCTCACCTCTTCCCACCTTCCGCCGCGATAAGATAAGTATCCCATGATGCTTCGTGGAGCCTCTGAATCTCCGACACAAAATCACTTTAAGAGATACATTGTACGCGTAGGCAGAACAAGCTGCTCCCCAGGAACAAGTATCGTCTGGTATGACAGGAACTATTCAAAATCTTCGAAATCTTTCCCAGCCAGTGGCCAATGCCATGATTCCTGGCCCAGGTATCTGAATGTACAGATGCTAGATACCTAGTCGAAATACAACTTCGAGACCATGCCAGCGGCGGATACACCACAGGTAGATATCCAATAACAAGATCCCACAGGCATGGTATTCAACAAAGCTTACAGGCAATCATGCAATGTCATGTCAACTTGTCAATCCAGGGCGCTGGAAAGCCACAACCTGCAACTGGCCGCGCCGACGCACGCCGACAAACCCACCCCTCCATCCGCGCACCGGGCCCAGCGCCGAAGAACGGAGGGCGTGCCGCACCACACATGCCACCAACGGCACCCCGCCCGAAGCCCGCCCATCCAATCGTGAAGCTCCAACTTTATATGTAGACCCTCAATTCGCCGCAGTCCGCCCTACCTTTACCTGTGTACTCCGTAGTGCTACGTCTCTGCTTTGCTCCAATTGCCCAATTGCTCATAACCCCGCGATAGATAGTTCTCTCGTCCTTTTCCCCTTCCCTTCCCAATGTCCTCACTCCTCAGATCCGTCACAAGACTTTCATCCCGCGCCGCCGTCCGCTCAACACCACGCATCATCACAAGATTCCATATTCAGCCCTTTAGCGTCAACACAGCAAAGATGTCTGAGCAATCCATCGTCTTCACTAAGAATGCCCCGGCCGGTGAGTGTTCTCTCAGTCTCATCCTATTCACCTCAAACTGGTGACTCCAAGTAACACTAGCTAACAAACCAACTCGAATAGCTCTTGGTCCCTACGTATGAAAACACCACACTCTCTCGTCATGGGACTCTTTTGAAGAAAAAGTCTAATCTAACCATCATCAACCCCCAACAGTCCCAGGCCATTAAGACCCCCACCGCCATCTACTGCTCCGGCCAGATCCCCCTCACCCCCGAGGGCACCTTCGTCGAGGGCTCCATCGCCGACAAGACCAAGCAGTGCATCTCCAACCTCAAGGCCGTTCTCGTTGAGGCCGGCTCCTCCATTGAGAAGGTCGTCAAGGTCAACATCTTCCTCGCTGACATGGGCGACTTTGCCGTAAGTTCCCTCCATCACTCCTACCCTTCCCCCATTTCCCCCTGACCTTTAAAATTTTCTGTGCTGTTTCTCTTGGTTTATCCATCTTGATCCGCCCCTGACAATCACGGACAGGAGATGAACGGCGAGTACGAGAAGTGGTTCACCCACAAGCCCGCCCGCAGCTGCGTCGCCGTCAAGACTCTGCCCAAGAACGTTGACGTTGAGATTGAGTGCATTGCCCTTCCTTGAATGGCAAGATTTACCTTTCCGGAAGAAAGCTCGGCCCGTGAAGGAAGTGAGCAGTCTCTATAGATCATAATGAATACAAAAAACAAGTGAAACATCCATCTAGACGTGTTCGGCTCAAGTGACCGCCCAAGGTACCCAATGGAGTGTACAAGAGCACGAGACTTGTAGAATTGCCCATATGATTGCTTAAAGTATGGTTCTGTATGTAAGTTCTCCCTTGCAGTACCTATACGTGATCCGTGGACCGTGATATCTTCACACGCTGGATGAATCTCCTACCGGGAAAGCAGCTTCGTAGCTACATAAACCACCCTGAACCTCAGCTGCAATACAGAACCTCTCAGGAGAGCTCATCCCAATCAAACCTCAACACCTGCCAGGATTGATAGCCTGCAATCCGCTTAACCCTCCTAGATCCTCCTCACGTCATCCCTCACAAAAAGCAAAAAGGAGAGTCTCGAATGCAAGTAATATGCAGAAAGGTAGCTTGATGTTCTACACGCCCTTCCGTCTATCGGTACAAAATACACGCCCACCTAGGGACTTCCCCCTCCTCCACCAAGCCAAAGCTGTGAAAAGAGGGAAAAAAGGCCCCTCGTTCACTCTATTTCGGTCTCCCAGTACAGTCGTAGATTTCGTCGTCTATTCCTCGTCGTCATCGGCAGCCTCGACGTACTTGTGGCGGATGTCCTTCCATTGGCGCTACATGTTTCAATCTCTTGTCAGCGAACAGTCCCAGCCTACCACATAGTGACCCTGCACCCAAATTGTGCCCATTGAAGTACTTACGCCGCGGTTAAGGTAGTCCCAGTACTTGTTCATCGCGCCGTTGAAGCCCCTAGAGCGCAAATGTCAGCCCACATGTAATTCCCTCTCAACTACCCCGATTCCTCCGGACCCATCGGCCTCTTCTCTCCCCGAGGCCTCGCCCAAGGCACCAGCAAGTCGGATTATCGCAGGGGAGTGATCTCACATTTCGAAAGCGAAGCCCGTCGCAAAGACAAAGCCAAGCATGGAGAAGTTGTTCTTGAAGATAGCGCTGTACCACCACTAGTTAGCACATACGTCCCCGTCTACTCAATCAGGTCCCAGATCCAATTCGCGCAAGCATTCAAGCTGAATACATTCTGTCTCGGTCGTCGGTGAAAGCTGCAGGAAGCAGAGAGAGGGAAAGACTTGCGTGTAGAAGGGGCGAGCGGCGGCCTAGAGAGAAACAAAAAAGTGAGCGATTAGCCAATTGCGGTAGCGCGACAGGTGCCCGCAGGACGTTGTACATACCATTGTGAATTATCGTCTGTCAAGTTCGCACGTCTCGTGTAGTGACAAGTGGTGCTTCGTTGCGGTCGGCGAGGCGATGGATCGTTCGGGGGGAGAGTGGGTTGAATCGGATGGTGTTGGGAGTCTTGACGAAATTCGCGATGTTCCGGGAAGCACTTAGCTTTGCCGAAATACATGGGCTCTGATTGGCTCCGCGATCCACCTTCCCTTCAACCATCGAAGGCTGGATGACTAAGGATCAAATGTCACAGCTGTCAACACCAGCCACATTCGCCAAACGCCACAGGTCTCCTTCCACACTGCCATTCACTTGTAAGTTGCGGCTTTGTTGTACATCTACCTTGAGCACTCATATGACGTTCCGGTGCAACAAATGTGACGCTCATTTGGTTTGCCCCTTAACTGTTTTTGTGGTATTTTTAAGTTGATACGACACAAATTTGAAGTAGGTCGTCCAAACACGTTTGGCAGTAATAAACGACAGGTCGCGGAAGCTCGATCAAAAGAGTTGTTGTTACTAATTACTACTATTACATGATTACGAGCCTGTTGTTGCTAAATTCTTGATTCTTAACCCTCCTTGATAGGCGAGACGCTGTGATCATGGCCGCCAATCTTCGCCTTGGCATGGACCTTCACATTGTGCATCCGCTGGCGGAACGGCATGTGCTCCTGCGCTCTGCGGCCTCTGAGTCCAGTGTGTGTCCGCAGAGGAGGTTCGAGACCGCCAGTAAACTTGCGATGTTCCTCGAGACGCTTCTCCGAAATCGTATCAGGCGCCCACTTCTTGCGGATGAACCATGGCAGGCATGAAGCCACCCACGCGTCGGGAATGAGACGGATGAAAGCTCCCCAAGGAAGAGAGATGGCGCCGAGGCCGATAGAGAGACCCCATTCTTTGCCATTTAGAGCATGGATCTGGAATGCCTCACCTCCCTTGAAAATGATGAGAACCTGACCACCAATCATGATCAGGTTGATTCCGATGAAAAAGTAGTTCTTGGTGATGTTTTCGAAAATGTTGAACCTGTTATCCAGGCGGCGGTTGCTAGTAGAGAGTTAGCTGATCGTTCATAAGTTTTTCACCATAAATGACGTACTTCAGTTCGTTGAAAATCTGCAACCAGACAAATGTGTTGAAAACGAGGGTATTCAGACTCTTGGTATCATCTTCGGATGTACCATAGCCCAAAAGGCTGCGTCCAGCAAAGTTCAAGACAAAGGTGATCACGAGCTGCAAAATTGCTTGTCCCATAATCATCTTGGCCATCCTCAGCGTGATAAGTGAAGCAGACTTTCGGTCAGGCTTGCGGTCCAGGACACTGCGAGTCGGCGGGTCCGTGGCAAGAGCGAGCGCGGCAAATGTGTCCATGATCAAGTTGACCCAGAGCAGTTGGACGGCGTTGAGAACCGACTCCTGTGTAGGGCTGGCGACTGCAGAGACAAATGTCAAAACAACAGCGGTAACGTTCACGGTCAGTTGGAACTTTGACTCATTAGCGGATTCCGTCGAATCACTTCACTCATGCAACTTACCTGCAAGAACTTCTTTACAGAGTCATTCACAGCTCTTCCCCACATTAAGGCCTTGACGATTGAAGCAAAGTTGTCATCCATCAGAATGATACCAGATGCTTCTTTCGCAACTTCGGTGCCAGCAATGCCCATGGAAAATCCAATATCTGACAGCTTCAGCGCGGGTGCGTCATTCGTGCCATCTCCAGTCACAGCAACCGTCTCACCAAGATCTTTGAGAGTTCGGACAAGAATTCTCTTGTCTTCTGGACTGGAACGCGCAAGAACTTGTAGTTTGGGAACAATGTCTTTGAGCTCTTCCTCAGTCTTCCTGCGGAAAGTCGGACCTTCCATGGCAATGCCACCATCTTCGGGGTGATAGATGCCACATTCATTGGCGATTGCTCTTGCCGTCAAGATGTTGTCTCCAGTGACCATGCGGACCACTACACCGGCGCGATTGCAGTCCTTGATAGCATCGATGACGGAAGGTCTCAAGGGATCTTTGATACCGTAAATCGCAATGAGGGTCATGTCTTGGTGAATCTTGTCAAAATCTGCACTCCTCGAGTCCTCCTCGGAGACGGCTTCCTTTGGTGGCCAGGAGTCGAAGTCTCGGAAGGAAGAGCCAATTGTGCGAAGGGTTTGGCCAGCGTACGAGTCAATTGTTTGAGCGAACATATCCTTGTCCTCCGAAGTCAAGTCGACCACGTTGAGCTCGGAACCACTTGGGTTGTCCAACACCTTGGTGCATTTTCCGAGGAGAATCTCAGAGGCTCCCTTGACGTAAGCCCTGTATTTACCGTTCGTGAGTTTGACAACAGTAGCCATGTACTTGACTGCCGAATCGAAGGGGACAACTTGAACCACGTTTGCGTTTGATCGCTCCTCTTCGACAGGTCCGGCTCCTAGTTGATCCCGGCTGAAAGTGAGAAGGGCAACTTCAGTCTTGGACCCGATGAAAGTGTGCTCTCCTTCTTGGTCTCCCTCGAACGCAGTGGAGTTGACAGCATTGCCTTGAATGAGGAGTTGCTTTGTCTCGGAGCTCAGGTCTTTGGCAAAATCTCCAGCTGAAACATTGCGAACCGAGTTGACGTGGGTTTCGTCGGAAGGCGACGTACTGTTCTTGGGCTTCTCTTCTCTTGAGGACTCAAGAGGAGCATCGGTACCGCCAAAACTGATACTCTTACCTAGGGTCGTGGCAACAACTGACATCTTGTTTTGCGTGAGGGTTCCCGTCTTGTCTGAGCAAATGGTGGTTGCGTTGCCCATCGTCTCGCAAGCCTTGAGAACTCTCACCAAATTATTGTCTTTCATCATACGTGATGTTGCAAAAGATAGCGCCAAAGTAACAGCTAGAGGCAGTCCCTCGGGAACAGCCACAACGACAACGGTAACAGAGACGATGAAGAGCTTTAGGAATTGCTGACCCTTCTGCTCAGGAGTACCATTGTTTGTGGGAAGTCCAACGCAGAACTTGATGAAAAGGACAACGAACAACAGCAAAGCTGCGGCAAAACCAGCTTTCGCAATCCAATCTGCAAGAATGTTGAGCTTTCTCTGCAATGGGGTATCTTCTTGCTCGGTTCTGAGAGACATGGTGATACGGCCATATGAGGAATTGACGCCAACTGCAGTGGCCAAGAAGGTACCAGTGCCTTCTTGAATCTTGCTGCCGGAGATGATGAAGGGGTCCATCTTCTCGATATCAGGATGATCGACATTGTCTTTTGCCATCTTGTCAAGAGCCTCGTAGACTTCGTCGGCGCCGACCTTTTTGAGCAGATCAGACTCGCCTGTAGCCGATGACTCGTCGCACTTGACCCCATGACCTTCAATGAAGATGCCGTCAACTGGTACCACTAAAGAACTATGCGTTAGCCAGGGATCGACCAGATGTCTCAACGATAAACACTTACTGTCACCTGTTGAGAGATGAACGACATCGCCAACCACAATGTCGTAGACAGATATTTCCACCGACTTGCCAGAACGGATGACCTTGACAGTGCGATCGTCATTCTTTTTGTTGAGAGTGTTGAACTTTTGCTGCATTCGCCAATCGTTGATCGAGCCAACCATGACAACGATCACAATGGCAACCATAATGGCAACACCCTCAACCCACTCGACTCGAGCTTCGCCCGGTGCATGGCTTTGTCCAAAAGTCTCGTATAAGCCAAGCGCAAGAGAGACAATGGCGGCAA